TTTTCCTCCCCATCCTCCCACACATCGCCCCCTTCCTCCACTCACCTCCCCCACCCCCTTCCCCCACTCCATTCCCTCTCCCTCTCCAGAATGAAGAACAGTCCATATTCCCTGCCCTGCAGGAAGTCCAAGGTCCTCCCACTTCTATCCAGGTCCAGGAAGGTGAGCATCCAAACAGGTTAGGCTCCCACAAAGCCGGTTCATGTATTAGGATAGAAACCTAGTGCCATTATCCTTGGCTTCTCATCAGCCTTCATTGTCTGCCATGTTCAGAAAGTCCGGTTTCATCCCATGCTTATTCAGTCCCAGTCCAGCTGGCCTTGGTGAGCTCCCAATAGATCAGTTCCACTGTCTCTGTGGGTGGGTGCATCCCTCGTGGTCCTGACTTCCTTGCTCATGTTATCCCTCCTTTTGCTCCTCATTTGGATCTTAAGAGCTCAGTCCAGTGCTCCAATTTGGGTCTCTGTCTCTATCTCCATCCATCGCCAGATGAAGGTTCTAAGGTGATATGCAAGATATTCATCAGTATGGCTATAGGATAGGGTCATTTCAGGATCCCTCTCCTCAGTTGACCAAGATACTAGCTGGGGACATCTCCCTGGACACCTTCAAGCCTAAGTCTCTTGCCAACCCTAAGATGGCTCCCTTAATTAGGATATATATTTCTCTGCTGCTGTATCTACCCTTCCTTTATCCCAGCCATCCCATTCGCCCAAGCTCTCCCCATCCTCCCCTTCTCATGTTTCTCACCCCATTTCCCCTTAACCCCTTTGATGGTTCAAGAAGCATACAGAACACCGAATAGACTGGACCAAAAAAAATCATCTCCTCGCCATATAATAATCAAAACACAAAACATACAGAATAAAGAATATTAAGAACTGCAAAGGAAATAGGTCAAGTTACCTATAAAGGTAAACCTATCAGACTTACACCTGACTTCTCTATGAAAGCCAGAAGGTCCTGGATAGATGTACTGCAGAAAGTCTTAAAAATCTTGAGATGAGATTTATACTTTAGCAAAAGTTTTAGTTAAACCAAAACAAAATGATTATGAGATGACTAGTAATAGTCCCTTTTAGAAATAGTCTGTCCCTCTTACGTTATTTTGCTCTCCTTTTTCTATCATATAGTCAAATATATATGGGACAGCATTTTTGAAGAAAATATTTAGAAAAGCATAGTTGGGTCTAGATAAGAGGAATCCATACCCAACTACAGAGACATATTTTAATTGATGTGTGGTAGCTTAAAATAACCATGTAGTGCCTGCTGTGGGAACTCCTTTAGCCAATGGCCTTTGAAATGCTGGACTGCTTTGGTCATGGCCTTGGGTACTATAAAAACAGTCTCTTTCTCTTGGCTGCTAGATTTGATTCATGTTCCAGGACTATTGTTCTGTGGAGCAGGGTGGAGCAGCAACTGCATGGGGTCGAGCAGGTACCCCTGACTTGAAAAATCTCCACAGCTGAGTTACATCTTTGACATGTAGGTGCAAATATTTTGGATAGCAACTTGGTGACTTTCTTCTGCCTGCCAGCCTATGCATGCTTTTTTCCCACCTCAATCCCTGCTTTTTCCATCCTCCTGGCTGCAATCTCTCCAACAAATGCTGAGGCCCAACCACCCATGCTTTGTGTTTGCTAGTCATGAACTCTGAGTTCCCTGATAGTCTGACCACCAAAGCCACTCTCCATGTATGGATTCAAATTAACCACTCTCAACCTGTTAAGCGTAATTTAGTATTTAAAGCTGCCAACAACATGGAACAGAGCACTGTCATGAAAACTGAGCAGGACTGTCGTGTCTCTGTGCCATGTGCATCCACAACCATGACAACTGCTGGCCAATAAAGATTATTACAACTAGAACAATTTACTGAACTCTTTTAACAGAGGTAAGTTCATTTGATTAATAAAAAAATAAATTTTAACATTGAATAATGCAGACAATGTCACCACCCAAGAATTTTATAACATTTTTGTTTATACTATGCATGGGTGATTGTCTTGGTAACAAGTTGTATCTGTCATCTATTGCACATATTGGAAATTGCTTGATTGGACTTCCTTTTTATCAAGTAATATTATTTCCCTTCTCAGGTCTTCGATATGGTTGAAGACTAGATAGTTGTAGTTTCTTTTCTCTCATGAATTAGCTATGCCATTCCTAATACAAGACCTAGACATTTTAGCATAGATTAATTATTAAAACATTTAGCATATATTTCTTGTTTAACATTGTTTATGCTAGTTGTAATTCTAATTTGTATACTTGATATCTGTTCTTTTTGTATTTAGTTTTGCATTGGGTTTGGAACTCTCTTATTTAGACAAAAAGGGGAGGTACTGTGGGAATTCCTTCAGCCAATTCATTTTGAGTTGTTGGACTGCTTTGGGCATGGCCTTATTACTATAGAAACATATGTAAAAACATGCACAGTCTTTCTCCTTCTTGGCTGCTGGATTCAGTTCCTGTTCCCTACATATTCAGAGGTCTGTTGATCTGTGAGTCTATTCCAAAATAAAGAATTCTTTATTATATTCCATTTGAAAGTCATGTGGGAATACTTTATTGAAATCCTCTACATATGCCATTATAATTAAAACCCTATAAAACTGAATCTAGTAAACTGAAGGCAAAAAAGGTTTAGAGAGATGAAATTTCTGAGCAATGACTATGAAAAGATGAAGCTGTAGGATGAAGCTCAATGACAAATAGACAACAGTAAGTGTGTACATATTCCATTCTGCTGGGCTACTACTCCTTTGCTATTGATAGGTTTTTGTTCATCCTGGTCCTACAGCCATTCAGTCCAAAAGAAACACTCAAAGGCCTACATTAATTATAAACTTGTTGGCCTATTAGCTCAGGATTTATTATCAACTCTTACATTGTACACTAACCCATTATTCTTGTCTGTTAGCCATGTGGATTGGTACCTTTTATCATTGAGGCATTTTCATCTTGCTTCTTCTTGGACTGGGTGATGACTGTATACTGAGCCTTTTTTCTTCCCAGAATTCTCTTGTTCTTTTCATCTGCCTATATTTCCTGCCTGGTTACTGGACAATCAACATTTTATTAAATCAGTACAAGTAAGAAAACTTTACACAGTACAAGACCATTGTCCCATAGCACTCCCCCTTTTCTCTTTTCAAAAAAAAAAAAAACTCTGAATCTAATCTTTGTTTAGCTTTTTTTCCTGACCATTATGCATGACAACTTGTAGCCAACATTCTAAACATAAAACATCTAAAGATAAACATCCATAATGCATTTTGGGGGGAATGTGGGCATAGTATTCTAGGCTACTTCCTGCTGATTTGGGCCACTGATAATCTTATGGGGACCTAAAGAAAATTTAGATTATGGTCAAGCCCTGACTGGAATATTCTGTGAGGGCTGATTATCTCAATCAGCAGTCTTGAGGATGCTCTGCATGTAAATTCAAAGGAAACTCCAACAGAAATCCTCTGAAATATTGGATCATCTGGGCCATCTGCTCCTATTGGATATTTCTCAGGGAGTCTTACTTGATCAACCTGATTTTTCTTAACCCTGAATGAACCCACAACCTCTCATTTCCTGTGAAAACAAAAACAAAACCTCTTCTCCAAAGTAACATTTCTTTTGACTTAAATTTTGAAGTCAAAGAATTTTCAAAATATATATGTTGGATTAATCCAACAGCATTTATAATTATATATTATGTCTTTTGACAGCTGTTGCACCTTCCTTAGCAGTTCAACAATTCAAAGATTATCATATAACTTACAATATCCAAATTCTCTGTGTATTTTCCATCTTTACATGGTTTTATTTTAAACTATTTCTTTTATTTTTACTTTTAATTTTTTTTTGGAGATGGTTTCTCTGTATATCTTTGGCTGTCCTGTAACTCACAGAGATCCACCAATCCCTGCCTTCCAAGTGCTGGGATTGAAGGTGTGTGCCATCACAATTATTTTGTTTCTTTCTTTTTTCTTCTTTTCTTTCAGGACTTTATTCTCTTTCTTTTCTCTCCCAAGACTACATATATTTTAAAACACACTGTAAACTGTTTAGATTTTTTTCTAAATCTATCTTTACTGTATATCTCTATTTTTCTTACCACGAGTCTTTAATTTGCTAAGCAATATGGCTCAGATTAAAGACATGGCTTTAATGGATGAATGCACTCCATCCCTTAGCTTTCTGAGAGTCTAGCTTCATGGCAAATTTAATGGTGGGAGTCATGCTTATTGCCATAACTCTGTGGAGTTTCAAGGTTGCTGCCACCACCAAGAATCATGCTGTTGGCTATTCATAAACACCATTTAAGTGTTTTGTGGCAGGGCTTCTTAAATGCGTTGCAAGGTTTTTGCAGCTAAATATGAGTCAGAAAGCCTCTCTTAAATGAGACACATTCGCCTACTCAAGAAAATGTTGCTACCAAGAAGCTGTCCTAAACTATGATCTTTTGTGTCTAGAATTACTTCCCAAGATCTCTCAGGTTTTATGTGGATGTAGTTGTCCACATTGGTACCATTTGTTGACAGATTTCTGTCTAGCCCAATCCTGCAGTCATTCAGTCCCAAAGAAACACACAGAGACCTACATTAATTATAAACTGTTGGCCCATTAGTTTGGGCTTTCTTATTAACTAATCATTATTAACCCATTATTATTGTCTGTCTTAGCCACATGGCCTGGTATCTTTTATTAGTGAGGCATTCTCATCTTGCTTCCTCTTAGTCTGGGTAATGACTGCAGAATTTGCCTTTCCTCTTCCCAGAATTCTCCTGTTCTCATCACCGCACCTCTACTTCCTGCCTGGCTACTGGCCAATCAGAATTTTAATAAATGAACACAAGTGAGAAAACTTTACAGAGTACAAGACCATTGTCCCATAGCACTTTGCTTTCTACCCTCCAAGCAACATCCAACTCCTGGCTGCCACTCTGTAAGAAATTTGATGACAATTCTGAACAAGTTTATGGCATTTCAGGTCAGATTCCAGGCTGGAGGCTTTCTAAAAGGCATCTCAAGGGGGAATGAGAGAGTGTGGAATGCACATTTACATGGTTGGGGGAAAAGAATGAAAAAACTTTCATAGCAGCTTTTATTTCTTGGTATCTCTAAGACTCAGAGAGAACTGAATGAGGACAAAACCTATCAGTGGGTCATCAACAAAGTCAGCTGAAGTCGGGGTTACTAACCCCATGAGGAGACTAGGCACCTAGTATTAGGACTTTTGCAGTGGCCCAAAAGGATTCTGTAGAAAAAAAAAAAGAAGTTCAGAGATGAGGTCTCATCTATGGAAAAGAACTGAAGAATAGATCCACAGAACCTACAAATATCAAGAGGAGATGAGGGATTATAGGCAGTTCAAATGGAAAAAAAAGGAAAAAAGGCAGGAGAGGGCATAATAATCCTGTTGGCCTAAGGAAACTGTAAGATTGCAGTTCCAAGGATAAGGTTGGGATAAAAAGAAGGGTATAGTGGTATATTATTTGTATTTTAATAAATTAATTCTGCCTGAAGGTCAGAGGCAAACCTGAAGCCACTAGAGGTCAGGTAATGGTGACACACACTATTAATCCGAGGATTTGGGAGACAGAGACAGATGAACCTCTATGAGTTCAAGGCCATCATGGGCTACAAAACATAAATGCAAAAACAATTCCAGGTGGTGGTGCATCACTTTTTTTATCTAAGTACTAAGGATTAAACCTTTAATTCCAGCACTCAGAGGGAATGTAAAATGCTAGTAGGAGAGGTTTAGCTTAATTAGTGTATGGTCTCCCATCCTTGGGCAACTTCTCTAGCAACATGGTTGCCTTACATTTCTGGTTTATAGGTCCACCCAACTTTTGCTCTGGGTTTATATTATTCATGCTACAATTGACAACCATCATTTGGGTACAAATTCATGAAAAAGCAGTTTTTCTGAGACTTTCAGTCTCCAACACAGGCTAGGGCTACATGTGGGGATCCCCAGCCCCACCCAGATAGGCTTTCTATTCTTTTCTCTTTCTCTTTGTCTTGTAGGTTGCAGGTTCTCACCAAATCCCCTTCTCATACTGCTAGTAAACTAGGTAGTTGCCATTGAATCCAATCAGGCTTTTACTATTCCATGTAGCAGCAATCAACCTCACATCTTCATTAACATCGTCAGTAGATTTGACAAAACAATTGAAAATTCTTAAAGACAAAGATTAGTTTAAAAATAGTTTTTCCCACATAAATACTGGGAAAAACATTATAATCGAGGGCTTTGGGTCTCTCTATAATTATATTCTGTAAAACATGAAAATAGAATGATTTAAATGAGAGAACATCTAATTTGGATGAGATTTATGTAATATCAATTTAAACATTGTCAGCATTATGACTTTTGTCTTATCACCAAAATAGTTGATTAACCTGACTGCCAAGATACAAGCCTTGTAAAAATCTAATAAAACAGATTACAGAGAGATGCAAACCCACACAGAGGAATTTAATGGAGAACCAGTTTCAGCATTGCATTATAAGAATAGAGGGAAACAGTTTAAGGTTTTCATACATCCAACCTTAATATATCCAGCAAACTTGTAGGAATTGCCAAATGGCAAGGTTCTATTACAGCTAATTGCAATCCTGTGCAATTTTTAGATTTAAAGAGATTCAAGGAAGAAATAGTCTCATATGGCAATGAAAATATGCATTTATTTTGTGAAACAAATGTTAAATTCATGGTTAATTTGTAATAGAATTATCCCTAATGACTAGAAAGATTCAGTTAGTGGAGTTTTAGAGACTGATACACAATTACAAAGGAGTACCTTGTTCAACGAAAAGGCTAAGATCCTTGAACAATGGACTAAAGCTAGAGGTAGGGAAATCTTCCAAGATCAAGCTCTTGGAGAAGCAGATTATGCTACTATAGAAAGTCAGGCTATATATAATTGCCATACTCTGTATTAATGCCATGCATCATCTTTGAATGTTTAGAAAATATTGGAGAATTAGAAAAGAAAATTGAGTTATTTACTAAAGTTATGCAAGGGCCAAAGGAAGCCATCATGGATTTCTTATAAAAATTCACTTCAACAGGTAAAAAAAAATGATAACAAATTCAGAAGCTAGACAAATAATGATTGATATTCTGGTTTTTGAGAATGTAAATTCTCTATGAAAAATGGTAACTAAACCATTAAAGGCAAGGTCAGCACTTTTGGAAAAATGGATTCAAGATACAATTAATATAGAATCCCATGAGCATGATGATACATGATAGAAGAGGTGGTATCCAGAGGTTTGAGGAAAAATCAAAATGTCAAAAGTTATAATTGTAACAAACAAGATCACATCGGAATGGATTATAGACATGGCACTCCTAGAAAATGTTTTTCTAAGAATAATTCATTAAAAATACTCCTTCCTTCTGGATTATGCAGAAGGTGTGGGAAAGGCAGGGATGGGACTAATAAATTAGATCAATGAGGAATATTCATAGTAATCCTTTGGCATTGGGAAACTGTGAGAACCTCTTACAAGACCCAATGCCAAATTTAATTCAATCATTTCCTGCAATAATAGAGGAGCAGTTAAAGAACCTAATGCCTATTGTAAGATACTATACTGCTCTGGATAAAAGAACAATTAAAGAAGGGTGGATAAAAAATTCAGGCAAAGCCATAAATTGGGCATTTGGGCAAACTTCTATAAATGAACAAAGACCAAAATTGAAAATCTGAATAAACAATGTTGTAATTGAAGGTCTGGTAGACATACATGCAGATGTAACAATGAATTCATCAGAAATTTGGTATCAAAATTGACCTCTTTGGGATGTAAATGTTTAATTTTAAGGTATTTGAACTTCGTCTCAGGTAAAGCAGAGCATGTGATGTGGGAGTGATTTCTTTCTAATCTGTTGCTTTCATTGGTTAATTAGTAAAGAAACTGCCTAGGCCCATTTGATAGGCCAACCCTTAGGTGGGTGGAATAAACAGAACAGAATGCTGGGAGAAAAAAGCTGAGTCAGGAGTCGCCATGATTCTCCCACTCCAGACAGCCACAGGTTAAGATCTTCCCTGATAAGCAACCTTGTGGGTTACACAAATTACTAGAAATGGGTTAGATCCCTGAGTAAATTGGGAGCATGGGGACCTTGGGAGAAGGTTGAAGGGGAGGAAAGAGTCAGGGAGGGGAGCAGAAAAATTGTAGAGCTCAATAAAAATAAATAAAAAAGTGATATTCCACAAAATAGAAATGGGTTAGATCAATATGTAAGAGCTAGCCAATAAGAGGCTTGAATTAATGGGCCAGGCAATGTTTAAAAGAATACAGTTTTCATGTAATTATTTCGGGTAAAGCTAGCTGGGTGGCGGGACGCAGCCCCACCGCTCTTATTTCTACAGGAATGGGTCAAATTTATAAGACCAGATGGACAGAGAAAAATATTTAAACTAAATGTGGATAAATTAACAATGAATTTGTTGGGGCATGATTTGTTTTAGTTAAAGAAAAACTCAGATTAACATCCCTCCAATCTTAGAAACAGACCATAGATTAATGTAGGTTTCTGGGAAAAAAATATTAGAAGTTGTATAAAGAACAGTCACCAACTATTCAGGTTGTACACAAACATGGCACAAAAGCTACTGATATGTCAAAGGCACCAACAGCTCTATTTTTAAAATGGATAACATAAAACCCTGAATGGGTTATGGAATGGCCTTTCACAAAATAGATACTGCAAGATTTAGAATACCTGATATAGGGACAAATAGATACGCAATATATCAAAGAATCAACCAGCTCTTAGAATTCTTCTGTATTTGTTGTTGAAAATAAATCTAGTAAATGGAAAATGGTCACAGATTTAAGAGCTGTTAATGAGGTGATTCAGCTAATGGGATCTCAAAAGTCTGTCATTCCTTTGCCTTCTCTGTTGTCTAAAGTAAGGTCTTTTATAGTTATTGATTTAAAAGATTGTTTCCTCACTATACCATTAAAGGAAAAAGAAAAATTTGCCTTCATAGTACCTACTTATAATAATTCTCAGCCTGCTAAAAGACATCAATAGAAGATTCTCCCACAAGGAATGTTAAATAATCCCACCCAGTCAATGACAGTGGGTGCTGAAACATTATTTGAGAGTATTCATACTGTTGAATGTATTAATTGGACTCTTTGACAAAGAGGTATGGCAGACTGACTGATAGAATGTCTTACCAGGAAAAGAATATGCATGCTATGAAGATTATGTTCAAGGATAAGACATTATCACTACCGGACAGATTCATACCTAGAAATCCTCAATGAGAATTTTAAACAGAACACTGGAAAGTACATCCAGACAAAAGGCAGTGGTAAATAGACTGAAAAGATTGAGGATCTTATTGAATTTGATATTAAGGGAAAAAAGATACAAAGACAAAATTTAGCCTCCCCAGTACATAAAAACCTCTGGGATAGTTTCTCCAGAGCTCTGCCTGCCTTTCTGATGATAACATCAGAAAGAAATATCTGGCCCCAAATACCCTATTATTGTCAAAGAATATTCATGGGCACCCATAAGTATGACTGATCTAAAGAAAATTAAACAAGCTATTGTAGTTTACAGACTACATTCATCCTTTGTTAGGGAAATGGTCAAAATGTGGGCTTCCAGTGACAAAGCAATGCCACAAGACTGGACTCAGTTAATTTCAACAGTCCTAGAAAATGGACTATAGTTGTTTTGGAGGTGCTATTTTAAGAAAAAAAAAGTAAAAATTAAAAGCAAAAAGAAAACGCAAAAGGGCTTGATATTTGTCTAGATCAAATTCTAGGCAAATACACTTTACTCTGATCCTCAGGATAGAGCTCTTTAAAATGAACACACCTTTTCCCTTTGTAGCACAGCAATTTTAAAGGCTTGGGACAGGATCCAGGAATTAGGAAAGCTACTTGAATCATTTCCTAGGGTTA